AATGCTGCTTCTTCTTTATACCTCGGATACTTCTGAAACTCTGCTGTTGTCTTAATAATAATAATAATTATTATTATTAAAATTATTACTGACATCACAGCTTGCTCCATATATCATAGACCTATGATATATGTGTCACCCAATTCAAAGTGTGCAGTTGAATGATGACTTGTACACGTTTTTAGACAATAAATTTAAACTTGACTAGTCCAATCTTATTATAGTTTTCTATTTGAATGTATTAATTTATGAGCAATTATACATATACTTTCATTTTTCTACTCCTTATGATTTGATATGTTTTGATTGCTCAATTTAATCGGAGGCCATAATGTTAGGAATAAGTTTTTGAAAATCCATGAAATATTTTTCTTAATTTATTGTGTTAATAATATCGTACACTATTAACATTAATTTTATACATGATAGTAATTGATACTAACACAATAAAAAAATTCTTAAATTTTAATTAAATTATACTTTTTTTCATTATTAATGGCAATTATAAAAGAACAAAGGATTTTGTGGAACATGATTCATATTATGACCAATGCATATAATACCTTATTTTTATCAGAGTAAATGACAGTCAAGGTCCTCCAAATTTGGTGGATTCGTCACCTTTAGTCCCAAACTTTCAAATCGATCACTTGTGATCCTACGAGTTTCGAAATTGACCTGTTGTAGTCCTTCCGTTAACATATTTCGTCTTGACCGTGAAAAGTAAAGGCAAAATAGTCTTTTATTTCAACCCCAGCCAAAACAAATCATTTTCCTCAAAAATTAAACCTAATCTCCTCTCATTTCTTCATTGAGATGTACTTGAAGTCATATGGGGGTAGTGTAAATCCCATGGCAGGTCCTAATGAGTGGCCTTCAAGTGATAAAGGGTCACCTCTTCCACAACTGTACACTGCCAAACAAAAAGTTGAGAAAGAAGAGGTGATGAGGTTTCCAAAGGTGGGAAAGATATGAAAGGAGGTGATGAGAAATAGGAGGAGATTATGTTTAATTTCTGAGGGAAATGATTTTTTTTGGTTGGGGTTGAAATAAAAAGACTGTTTTGCTCTTACTTTTCATGGCCAAGACGAAATTTGTTACCGGAAGGATTAAGGCCGCAGGTCAATTTCAAAACTCGGAGGACGACAAGTGGTCTATTTGAAAGTTTAGGACTAAAGGTGCGAAACCACCAAACTCGGAGGACCTTGGCTGACATTTACTCTTTTATTAGTAACTTTGACATATGAACGTAAAAGTGAATCACATATACAAAATTTTAGAAGTGTATCACGCAAAATTACAAAGCGCACTCATTCTTGTGGGACAAGGTGTAAATCACGGTAACTCAATGGCTCAACAGACAGTAGGCGAATCTTAGTATCTTCTTCCAAATATTGCTTAGTGAACTACTGATCGAAATAAGCATGTATAGACACATTCTTGAATTGAACTTTTACATATCATAAAGTGCTCACGTTTTTTAGTGCATTTTGTAATTTCACATGATACTCGTCGACATATGAGTGTGCGTTCTCCTGTTATTTAATTAATATACCAAAATGAACTCCTGAACTAAGCATGTATGAGAAATTTTTTGAATAGAACTTTTACATATCATAAAGTGTACATGTTTTTAGTGCATTTTGTAATTTCACATGACCACGTCGACATATGGGTGTGCATTCTCTTAGGGGTGGACATTTTAAGATTCGATTCAGTTTTTTCGGTTTTGGTATTAAAAAAAAAATGATACCATCCAATTTAACATAATAATTCATTTCGATTTGAAAAAAGTTCAGTTTCATTTCATAATTAGTTCGGATCGGTATTTGGTTCGATTTAAGAATTGAACCCCAATTTTTAACATTTCATATTTTTCCAAACAATACATATTCAATAGTCCAAATCCAAAGTCTAAACATTATATAACAAAATAGCAATCCAAAATTCAAACACACTACTAAGTACTAATTAGTAATTACCAAACATCAGTTGGCTTTTTCCCCACCAACTCTTCTATTGGCTCACTTTGAATACTCTGTCGGGTCGGGGTGTGGGGGGCCCTTAGAGTTGGGGTTCAGCTTTTTGGAAGAATATTTGGAGAATTAAGTGTCAAATACGGTATAGTTACTTTTTGGACACAATCCATCATTGCTAGCTTGGTAAAATATATTTTCAGTGCACTGGAAATCAAAATTAGAATGATGTTGAAGTATATTAATTTCATATAAACATGAAACTAAGGAAAATACCGAATATTGTAATAATAACTCAAGCTAGAGATAATTGTGAGGCAAAGAACAATTGTAGCAAAAGCAAAAGTGCACATTAGGGAATAAGTCATAAAGAAATACGGGGTAATATTTAAGAGAGATACCATTGAGATCGAATAGGAGTTGAACGATAGAGCATGCAACAATGGACTTGAATTTACTTCTTTATTATTATTATTATTATTATTATTATTATTATTATTATTATTATTATTATTATTGTCCTCGTCATTATCATTATTATTATTATTTTATTTATTTTCTAAAAAAGAAAAGAAAAAATCAAATGATACTTTAGTTGGATTCAATTTTTTACCGAAATATTTAATATACAAAAATTCATTAGCGTTCAATTGTTTAATATATTACTGAACCAAACTAGTTTAGTACGATTGAGTTCAAAAAAATCGAACCAAATTACTCACCCTAGCATCCACATTGATTGGGGAGAATGGTGGGATAATGTAAGAGTGATTAGGAAAGAGAATGTGGGAAAGGGAGAGAAAAAAAAAAACAAAACTCAAAAAGACAAAAATAAAAAAAAAAAAAGAATTAATTTCACTTTTGGTCCCACGACTTTTGAGTTCTTATCACTTTTGGTGCACAACTTTAAATTTTTTCACTTTTGGTGCCTAATTTTGTTATTTTTATCAGTTTTGGTCCTTCCAACCAAATTGATGGTAAAATATTTCCGGATTTTATATTTTAGGGACAAAATCGTCATCCAATTTAAAGATCTTCAATATTTAAACAAAAGAAAAATCATATTAAGAGGAAAAAAAGAGTTTGCCAATGGTCGAAACTATAAATCCCATAGATCTGTCTGGTTTCTGCCCGTCTTCCCCATTATTCTCATCGATCAAACACCTATAGATATGATTTTAAGTGATTTTGTTTAGATATTGAAGATGCTTCCTTATGATGACGATTTTACCCCTAAAAATATAAAATCCAACAACATTTCGCTGTCAATTTGGCCGAAAGGACCAAAACTGATAAAAATAACAAAGTTAGGCACCAAAATTAAAAAATTTTAAAGTTGTGCACCAAAAGTGATAGAACATCAAAAGTCGTGGGACCAAAAGTGAAATTAATTCAAAAAAAAAATAAAAAAAAAAAGGCGCGCGTGACGAGCCCGTGAGGGCTGCTGCTGTGCGCAAGACGCGCACATCAGCTTGTTTCTTTTTTTTTTTTTTTCTTTTTTTGACATTATTTTTGTTTTTGCAGATGAATTCTCCCCAGAATAATTCTCCCCTACATCAGTTATAAATTTGAAGTGGATGAATTAATATTGCAATCTCCCCATATTATCTACTGATGTAGATGCTCTTACGTTCTTCTATGATCCTATCTTACGGTATTTAATATACGAAAAGAAATTTAAGCATGTGCCAGCTGTTAAAGCTGTGTATTGAATTGCAAGTTGTAGAGATTCCTGTAATATCTGTACCTGCTAATCTTTACTTGGCCAAGTCCAGATTGCATTGTTTTAAAGATTGGAGTGAGTGTAAATTGTCTGGAACCCTCACTTTGCCAGCTATGTTCTGCTCCCTGCCCACCATATATAATTAAACCAAAAATGGAATTAATATTTGTGTATTTTTAAAATTTAATTTTGGGGTAAATATAATCAACATTCTTGGAATGCTCCTGCCCAAGCTCTATCTTTCCCCACTTAAACATTTTATGCATATACTGCTTTCTCACTATTAATAAATTATTATAAATAAAAGTATCAATTTCATTACTATATTATATATGTTTTAATTAATTTTATCAGTTAAAATTTTCATAACTTACCCTCAAAACAGTGATCGAGTACGTGGGTAAAACATAATTATCGTATTTAAATGTCATGAGTTTAATTATTGTCAACACTTATTCGGTCAAACTTGTTGTGCATGATCTTTCTAGTGTAGTTTGTGGTTTGCAAGTTTTTACACTAAGATAAAGTTTACCTAACTTTTTATAACTTGACTTAACTTTATTCACTTTAATAAATTAATTACTAACTCACTACTCGTATAGAATTTCTATTTAATTTGAACAAATTAGTTACTGGCTCACTACCCTTATAGTATATTTATATAAACAAACCTTTTCACATATTATAGGGAGGAGTCATTTCATTTTTCGTCCTACATTTATAGGTGACAGTCCACTTTTATTTATTTTTATCAGAATATTTCATTTTGGTCCTAATATTATTGTGACATGACCATTTTTTGTCCTCCGCCAACAAAATCGTTGAAATGCCGTTAAATACAATGACATTTTGATCCTTTTTTTTTAAATACAAAGTGAGTATACCTGGCCTTCTATATTTTTATGTTTAATTTTTAAAAAAATCCATAATTAAATACCGAAAATTTCTTGTATTTAACGACATTAAAACTGGTTTGTTGATAGATCAGGAAATAAAAATGATAATGTCACAATAATACTATAAGCAAAGAGGAATATTGTATAAAAGATTTAAAAGTGGAATTACATCTATCAATCTAAGATTAAAAAAATAAAATGGAATTAACTCTTACAGGGGCTATTTTATACAGTACAAGTAGTGGTTAGTAGCTTGTTTGTTGTTTGTTGGGTAGAAAGATGATATCAATTTATAAATGATATAATTCTTACCTAAAATGACTAAACTAAATAGTTAAATGTTTTTTTTTTAAGGTTATTAAAATATGTCTTCTTGTGCCTATATATACAGGAGGCATTGTCTCTCTTGAAACACACCAAGTGAGTAACATGGCATACTCTACAAAAGCACTTGCTGCTTCACTTCTTGTCTCCCTTCTCCTCCTCCATCTCTCCAATGCCCAATTTGATCAGGTAGGCTATACTACTCCATTTCTTCATTAATCTGTTTTTTTTTTTTTTAATAATATCGAATTCAAACTAACTTATGGTCTGATGATATCATTGTTACTGCTCGATATTATGCTTTCGAGATTTAAACATTAATCTATTATTTTGTTGAAATATATAACAGGTGGAGTTGAACAATGCCCCAGCAGGCAGCCCTCAACCTCAAGGCATAGGTAAAAATATAATTAAACCCAAAATGGAATTACTAATTAATATTTGTGTATTTTTAAAATTAAATTTTGGGGAAAAATATAATGTAATATATATATTGCAGACTGCCCAGCAGCTTGTGGAGAAAGGTGCAAAAAGTCAAAGAGACAAAATCTGTGCAAGAGGTCTTGCGGGAGCTGCTGCAACACGTGCAAGTGCGTTCCACCTGGAACTTCTGGAAATTACGACATCTGCCCCTGCTATTTTAATCTCAAAACCCACAACAACACCCGTAAATGCCCTTAACTTGTTATTATTATTATTCCCGCCATCGTTATATTTCTATCAAAAAAAAATTATATTTTTAGTCTCGTAATTAAATTTATGGTGTAAATTTAGTCATTCATGGTTAAATACGTCAAATCTAGAGACTAAATTTATATGACTCAGTGAATTTATATTGTTATTATTATTGTTGTTGTTGTGGTGGTGGTTCTTGCAATTAAATTGTAACAAGTGATGTACTGTCTTTCATTGATAGCTTAGTCCAAAAAACAATTGGGATTTTTACGTTTGTACCCATTGTTCCATTGTTGTTATTAATTATATCTTCATAATTTAAATTGGAAATTAAATTATAATTTGATTTTGGATTTGTACTTCTTTTTAATTAAAAATTCTCTTTGAAATCTTGAGTTATCGTTAAGTCAATATATTAGTTAACTCATTGATAGGCAATTTATATCGTGCACCAGGGTGTGCATTGCATTATGCGCCCTGATGCAAAACGACGTTGTTTCAGTTTGTTTTTTTTTTGTTTTTTTTTGAAATTTCGCTGCCCTGTATTGACGGTTAATTTTCTTTTTTAAAAAAGATCTCATGTTCAAAAATATACATAATTTTATACTAGAATACACATAATTGTATACATGAATGTACATAATTGTATAACAAAATACACATACTTTTTTTTTTTAATTTCCTTATTCGAATGTAAATAATTGTATAAATAAATACACATAATTGTATAAACAAATACACATAATCACGTCAACTCCCTACATAACTTACCAAAACGACGTCGTTTTGGGAGACGCGGGGCGCACAGTGCTATGTACACCATGGTGCAGGGTATAACGATTGTGATTGATGATCTGATCACCGCAACTAACAAAGTAACAAGCCCAACTGACCGCGGTTCCGGTTCCGCAAATGGACAAACTGGAATCGGAACCTTATAGTAAGGTTCCGGCGGTTCCGGTTAGAACCGCCGGTTCTAACCAGATTTATTTAAAATAAAAAATAAAAAATAAAAAAACACTATAATTTTTAATTTTTTTTTCGGTTTGGAACTGCCGGTTCCGGTTCCTTTTCATCTCGAACCTTAACCAGAACCGAAACCGTACAGACGGTTCGGTTCCGATTCCGATTCAATAGTGCACGGTTCGATTTGAACGGAACGGTTTGAACCGAACCGTAGTCACCCCTAAGCCCAAGGAACAACTTAATACATTAAAAAAAGAAAAAAAAAAACTTACAATAGTTGCAATGCAATTAAGTGTGATAAAATATTATTCCCTTCACCACATCACAACTTAAAATAAAATTTTCATAATATTAAGTTTAATAGTTTTAAAAACAAATTTAAAACTTATTAGAAAATACTAAAGAAATTAAAATGGAAAAAAAAAATTGATTTGATTATTAAATAATAAATATGATATGTAAAATGGGATAAATACTAAGGGAGTAACATTTTAAAAGAGTTAATCATCAAAATTAACTATTTTAATTTGTCTAAATTCGCAATAATTATATAACTTTTACTCCGTATAATATTATTACCAATTAAGACTTGTTGATTATAAAATATACTCCGCACAAAATAGTAAAGGTATAAATCTCATCATTATTAATTTAAATTTTAAATTTTAAATTGAAAGTTTAAAACGAAACAAATCTTTTTTGCCCGATCACATGTTTCCTCAACCGTACTAAGGTACACTAAGACTTCTAGTTAAATTGAAAACATCAAAACCATCTCATCAACACCTCACAAAAGTAGATTATAAATTACTAATTAATCCGTAATTAAGATTAAGATATATTGATATCAAAACGCAACTTGCCATAAAACGCAACGTAATTAAGGGAATGGTACTTGCAGTCCACACGGATTTAGCTTACTGGTTCAGTAGGCAACAAATACTAAACCTGTTTGATTTAAGGTAGAATTGTGAGACTTTATTTAACCATGTCATTCTTCCAAATTGGGACAAAACGTGTGTTGGTTCTTGCAATTAAGAAAAATAATACTACACCCTACAAAAAAGAATAATACTACACCACTTTTAAACAACTCGAGTGTGATGTTAATCAACTAATAGAGAATGTTGACAAAAATTAAACTTGTAAACAATTTATTGATATTTTGGTTTGAATTGGTTAACTATGAGTAACTTAGACTGATTTAGTTCTATATGGGGTCCTTTGTCAGCACAAAAAGCGGAGTTTACCTATTGCATACCATTAAGTAGTGGATGTGAATTTCTCTCGTTACAATAAAAAAAAAAAACTTGTGAATTGTCACATTCAGATACAAAAATTATACTCTATCCACTCGATTACCATTTTTGAGTGAAACTATTTTGTAAATTAACGTAAAAGTGGATAGAGCCTAAACATTGATTCTATTTTACTACTATACTATGTTTAGAGATATTGTGTTTTTTTAATTTTGGTAATAAACAATTACTAAATGAATAGAATGAAGAAGGATCTGATTCCAGAAATGGAATGTTTGTTTAGTTGTTACCTAGCTGTGAAATGCGGCCCAAGTCCATTGAAATCCCAACGGCTAGTTGCCACGCCTCCCCGGAACGCTCTAACGGTCATCTTTTCGCCGTTCCAATTCCTATAAAACCTTTATCCCATACCCGTTTAAACATCTCTGTTATACTCTCTCTCTCTCTCTCTCTCTCTCTCTCTCTCTCTCTCTCTCTCTCTCTCTTTCTTTCTGATCATCTCCGGCTACCAGAAAATTGAATTTTTCCGGCAACTCGTTTCACTAAAAAACCCCTTATTTCTTGATCGGAAATTTGCAATGGAGACCCCATCATCAACCAGGAGATTAACCAGATCACAGGCAATGGCTGCCGCCGCTGCAAACACCACCACCTTCGCTTCAAGTCAGTCATCGTTGACCCTAAATTTACTTTTGAGTTTTGAATAATCCTTGTTCCCTAAATTCATTTTCTTGATTATGTATGTGTTTCTGTTTTACTTTTTCCTCGTGGGAATTCAGAGAAATTTGAAGAATCTGAAAAGAAAGCAGCATTGAAATCAAGAAACGGGAACGAGCAAGAAAGATCGGCGCTTTTTGATATCACGAACGATTCGCCCATAGTCGGGGTCGCAATGGGGAGTTTGGAGACTCCTTCATCGGCCATGTCCAAGAAGAGGGCGATCATGAATGCGGTGTCAAAGCAGTTAAAAACCCCTGGTTCTGGAGAGGCGTTGTTGAGGGGTCAAGTGAAGACATTGTTGCAGAAGGTTGAAGAAGAAGCAGAGCTCTCAAAGCTGTCGGTAGAGTACAGGCCTTTCCTTCATCTAAAAGGCATTGTTAACAACTCTCCGACGGGGCTTTTTGCCCCAACTCCGGCCAACACTCCTCATCTCAGCCTCTCTGGGAATAATGGGTTGCCTTCTTCAGTCGTCACTGCATCTCCAGTTGAAGAAAAGTTTCTGATCCCTCAGGTAATCTTCAAGATTGGGTTTTTTTGTTTGTTGTTTTTTGTTTCCTGATTTAAAGGTTGGGTTGATTTGTCAGATGGTTGATGGGATTTGTGATTGGAAGAAAGAAGGAGAAGAAATGGAATGCATGGTTACAAGGACACTGTTCTTGGATTTTAGTGAGAAATTGGAGAGTGAAAACAAGGAGAAGACAAGACCGGGTGCAGATGATGATGACGATGATTCATCCGTATGGTCGATTCAGGTGAATGCTTCAAGCATAAGAGACGAAGAAGATTATGAGGACGAAGAAGAAGAAGAGGAATGTGATGAGTACTATGATGAGGAAGATGAAGAAGAAGAAGAGATATGTGATGGAGAATTGGTGGATGAGATATGTGAAGGAATAAGCAAAATGAGTGTGAAGTTCAGCGGGAAGCACACACGATTTGTGTACAACAGCGATGGTGAGCTTGAAGGAGTGGTGGTGGAGGAGAAATCAGCCGCTGCTTCCCTTTGCATTTAAAGGCCAAACTGGAACCTGGAAGAAAACTTCTTAGCTTGTGTGTTTTTTGGTTGTCGTTAGCTATATTACTTTCTTACATACATCAACACCTCACCTCTCTTAAGGTGTCTTTTTTGTTGTTGGTTTCTGTAATCGCACTTCACTTCCATTTTTCTTTTGGAATCAATTATTTGTTTTTTCGCTTGCTTGCTTTCAACTTTATTCATTCCTTTTGTCCAGGAAAAAAAAAAATCATTCTATTAAACTTATGGTCTAGTAGCCCGTAATAAAACAAAAATTTGAAATGCTTTTATGAATCCACAAATATAGTGATTTGAAGTAAGACTACTCAGAGTAGTCCACGAAATGTTAGATTGACATTGTTGAGAATAAATAACTAGATAAAAATAATAAAAATAAAATAAAATATATAATTATTTTTCTTTTAAAAGAATTGTTTTATTAGTTTTGCTTATAAAAATTTTAATGCTTTTTACGACTTAAGTTTATAATATATTGATATGAATACTAAGATCTGTCCCATAATCAATCCAGTTTTTGCTACTATTCTCTTCTTAGTTTTTTCTTCCTCCTTAAAAATCAAAGTTCGAAAAAATAATAAATGAAAAGTCTTGATAGAAAGCGCTCAAAAATCCATAATAGTCCAGCTGCAAGAACTGAATTTATTATTTTGTAATAAACCGAACAAAAAGAAAATTGATTCCTCATAGTGAAATACTCCTATATTTCAATAGTGTTGTGAAAAAAAATCGTGAAATTCAATATTTGTTCATATAAATATTAATTAGATTTCTAAGATTTCTAAAAATTGAACTTTTAATAGTGCAATTCAATATTTGTTCATATAAGTAATTAGATTTCTAAGATTTCTAAAAATTGAACTTTGAATAGTGAAATTTGGTAAAGGTAAATTTGATTCTATGATTTCTATTATTATATGATCTATTTATGATATTTTTTTCTATTGTCAATAGAAATCAATGAACGAGTTTCAAAAGTTACGGATACAAAACATTTCCGAAACAGGAAAACGCTACCCTCCATAGAAGAGTTGTCAATGCACTGCCCACCTGAGTGTGAGGCCTTTTTCAATTATTTAGCGCATCACTGACGACTTTAATCTCTCCCCCTCCTAGTCTGATAAAAAAAAATGCACTTCCCTCTAGCTGTAACATATAAACTAACAAAGATCATCTATATACAGTTTTGGAGCATCATTTAGAAAACGGCTACTAACTACAGTGCAATTTACAGGGTGAATGATTAGTTTTCCATTGTGCCTGCCAAAGTAAGTTTTTGCGAAATTAATCAATCAAAATTCAGAATTCAAAATTCAAAACCAGGGATGCCATGTTGGGTCCATCATGCATAAATTCCTGGGAGTGAGGGCCGCCTCCACCAATTCGGCTACACCCTTCTGCACGGACTGTGGATTATCCATCACATTCTCCTCCTACAACAAAAACAAACCCCCTCAACTCACTCATTCTCTGCTCATTTTATCAATAAACACAACAAACAAAGCATATATACCTCTTCCGATATGCACTGTGGTGCTATTCCATTGATCCGCCCAATTACGTGCTCAACATTTGTACTGATCTTTTGCTTCAGGTCAACAGGGTTCAGATGAGCTGCACCAACAACAGGAGCCATCGGCATTCCTAGCGGTCTTCTCCAAGACCACGATAGCAGTTCATCACGGAAAAACATTGCCAAGTGGTACCACAGATGCTGGATTTGCTGCAACAGAATCATCTTAGTTTCATCCATCACAACACAGGAAACAAATGAAAAAAAGCTACAACAGTCAGTCTTACTTTAGGTGAAACCACAGCCTGAGCAGCTGCACACATGGAAGAAACGATCAGACCTTCCACTCCAAAATGGGAGAAAAATGCTTGCAAGTTCCTGGTCAACCGGAACGGCACCGGTTCATTGAATTCGATCATTCCATTTGCATCATATGCGGGATGAAAATCAGTCTGGAATATTTTCCCCGTGTTTTTAGCAAATAATATCTTGTTTGGGGAACGACCACCAATTTGGAGCATGAAAGACATGAAGCTTGAAAGTGCCAACTGAATCGCAAACTGCTTTTTGAAAGCCCACATATGATTCCCACTCAAAAGGGTTTTGTACATATACTGTGAAAATATGCTGTCAGACACAAGAGTTTTTGTTATCTCATTATATGCTTGAAGCCGAAGGTCAACAACAGCTTCTGGTGACATTTGCCCAGATATTGCTTGGTTGAGTTGCTCCTTAAAAAAAGTTATTGGTAGGTCCGCCTCTCGATCATTTCTAGCACAGTGGTTCTCATATACCTCGAGGAATGTGCTGTACATCAAATCATCTTCCACCATGCGCACCTGTTTCACACATTCATACAATTGATTCAGGTGGACTGAATGATATTATATTATTACTAACTTTCCTGAGACCGAGGCATCACAACTCATTTTAAATGGGTAATCTAGCATGACAAGACTTATTCACTCATGGGGCAGGGAGGCCAGGAAGATGGGGATCACATCTTCATCATTCTAGTAAAGTTCAATTTCCAATTTTCCATCTCTTAAATCAGGAGTAAATGAAGAAAAATAAAAATAAATTGCAATCACCTGTGACCACACGGGTATAATAATTGGCGTGTGAATACATATGTGTCGCTTTCTGGATTCCTTGTGCTTGTCAAACATTCGATTCATAACACGGAAAAGTTGCAAGATCCGTTCATCACTTCTAGCATTAGGTGTCAATGATGTCTGGACAATAAAATGGCGCCGTGAACCATCAGACCCAATAAGGGTCAAGCGACGGAAACTGCTGCCATGCCTCCGAACAATTGGAATGTCAGCTCCCACCCTATCCAACTTCACTGTGTGATCAGGTGCTACTTCCTGTAAGAGATACACAAAGTCAGAGGGAAGTGTATAACAAAAGCAACCAATATCTCATCTGTGATGGAAGATAGAAGGAAAAAAAATACTAAAGCAAGAAAATAAATAAACTCTAGTCTAGTTTGGAAACTTCAGAAGCTAAAAACTTCTGCAAAAGTAATTCGAGTTCGAATTTAAAAATAATTTTAGAATTAGCTACTACAGCATATGAAATTGCTGCGTGTTACATGTCAACCTGAGAATCCCAACATTAGATAATATTGATGCAGAGTTATTAATAGTAAAAAGTACAAAAATTACAATAGGGAAATTAGTTGCATCAGTACTGATAATGAGATACTAAGATTAATAATTAGTTGAATATACGCTTTCATGTAACCTTATTGATAATAACAATTTTTGCTATTGTAAGCTGTAACTCTATTAACACACTATATGCATAGAATGGAGAACTGACTGAGATCTTTACAAAGGTTACCTGGTCAGTAAAATATTGCCCTGGAACTTCCACATCAACAACATGGAAGTCCCGCAACACCCTACTCTCATCTTCCAACTTCAGAACAGCTGGAAAACGGTCCTCAACATTACTTTGCAGAACATTTTTCCAGTGCTTCAAACGTTCTGTCAGTTCAGAAAGTGTAGCCGGGAATGTTGCTGTACTCTCAGGATCAAGATCTCGTTCAAAATCTTGTTTGTACTCTCTTACAAAGTCTACATGCTTGTTCACAGCATCTGCTGAGAAACATGCCCTACAAACACCAGACAGCTCCTTCCTTAAAGACTGTGGAACTTCAGCTGTAGTTGCAGTCGGGTACTTGTAACATCGGTGAAGCAGAGCATTAACAACAGCTAGCAGTCTCTCTTCTGGTAAAGTGACAAACCTTGAACCAATTTCAGTGAGCAAAATCTGTGAAAACATTTTTGAATGCATGCAAGTCAGTTGTTTGTCCTGGTCAACCATGAAGAAATTTCCGTGGACACAGTCTGTCATATACAATCTTAAATTCACTCAACAAGAACCAAGAAATTAAACAATTCCACATTTTAGAGGTTTAAAAATGATTAAGACATATAAAGAATAATAATCCATTTGCAACATTCCTTAGATAAATATAATTTCACTTATAAAGAAATCCTTTCAACTCACAGGTTAACTGCGAGGTACAAGCAAAAGCAATTTAACCAGTTAACTACTTACCTCAAGTTCACTAGCCAGGTTAGTATGTTTACTTCTCAGCGTCTCCATTATATCCTTTGCAGCTTCAAAAGCACTAGCAGCAGAAGAAACCAAACCCAAAGTAGCATTACGCCTTATTGAATTCTGACCACCATCACCAGCAGACGAACTCTGGTGTGGATCAGTTCCAGAAGGCATGCCACCTTCAACATGCGCTTGCCTTTCAGATTCCTGAACCTGAGAGCTACTGGCATCATGAGATCCAACCCCTATGCCACTCTGAGTTCCTTGGGGAACATGATTTTCTGTTGCTGATGAACCACCACCTGTCTGACCAGTTACTCTAGCATTCCCATCAACCAACCCCATAGACCCAGCTACATTGGCAGCAGAGGCATTTTGCTGCATTCTTTGTTGAGCCATTGCCATTCTACCATATTCAGATTTATTCGCAACATCACGGCGCTCAAGCAAATATGTACGCAACCAGTAATACAATGCCTGAATTTAAAAGAAAGATCAACCCAACAAAGTATAAAAATATATATGAAGTAACTCCAAAATATAACACTACCTGTGGATACACAGTAGCAATTTTCAAAAGAACAAGTTTGCAATGAGAAGCCTCACTCCTCTGTAAGGAAAGTAACAGCTGAGGGATCCAAGAAAGCCAAACCCAGTCAGGTATTTGGTCTAAGTACTTATCAAATGCCCTTCCTACAGGCTCATTTGCAGTGTCAAAGCTGAGAAGATATAAAACACGTGCAAGGTGGCTTCTAGAATTAGGGCTGCCGAACTTTATGCCTTGTAAAAAGCAGCTGACTGCATACTCTAGCCATATCTCCTCATGGCATTCTTTGTAAGCCTGACAAAGAAATGAAATTACAAATTTGGGAAATTAAAAAGAAAAAAGAAATCAACAAGTTGAACCAAGATAAGGAAATGCATACCATATCACAATAATTCCCCCAGCTAATCCATCCCTTAGGCAAATTCTTGAAAAGAGTGATAGCATTTGAATATGCAAGGTTTGCCCCTTCACAATCACTAAGCTTCAGCAAGAAATCCCCCTTAAGGCGAAAAATTTCAGCCTTGTGTTTGATAGAAAAATAGTCCAGGTTAGTACTGTTGATCAAATTAAGTCCACTGGTTAACTCTCCCTTCATTTCTAAATAAGCTTTAGCTTGTTCTCTTATTTTTACAAAGGCTTCCTGCAAGCAAGTCAGAAAAAATAGATGAGGTGAGAGCACTACATCTCATAATCTCATAAGCTGAAAAATAGAGAAAGTTACAAGATTAAAAGAACAACCTGAACTTCCATTGTTGAATGCCCATACATTTTCTCCAGAATGGACACACAGACATCATAAAGTCCTTGTTTACGAGCAATATGGGCAAGCCTATTTACATTCCATGCCTTGTCACGATACCCAAGATGATGCAATTGTGAATTTGTAGAACTAAAGTCCTTAAATGCATCAATGACTGCATTATACATTTCATTCCTCCATTGGAACAAATCATACCAAACAGACGAGTTGTCCCATTCATTAGGTGTCCTCAGTCTCCACGTCTCAAGGATGTCCTTCAGATCTGCATATACGGCACCATGAACACCAACAACAGGATTTCCAGAAATTTTGTTTCCATTGGCAATGTCAATAATAATACGAGATGATTCCTGAACTTCAACCAGTTGTTGAAATTGCTGTAAAAGTGGAATTCTTGAATGAATGGACATATCAGGCAACTGCCACCACTGTTCCAGAGCAAGATCGACACCTTTCCCCACAATGCTCTCGGCCTCCGCCACTCCATTTGTATTCTTTTCATGAAGAGCAAAATAGGCTTGTATTATACGGAGCTTTGGAGTCTCCTCAACTTGAGCCTTAGGAATAACATGATCTTTCAAATATGCCCAATCAGGCTGCTTCCATAGACAATCAAGTAATATCTCGTAATTATCAATCACCTTCCCAAAGTCTACTAGTGCATCCCATTGACTGAGTTGAGTAGCACAAGATAGCCACTGCTCTTCCCAGAGGCACATCTCAGCTTTAGGAACAGTATTGTTATAAGTGCCTTGAGTTGCCTTAAGCATGGCTTGGTAGAAGAGACTTTGGGCACGCTGCCAATACCCATGCTGTACAAGAGAAAGCCCAGCTCGTGTTTCAGCTGTAATTAACCGTTTTTTCCATAAACCACACCTCATATCTTCTTCGTTGAGTAATCGGTAAAGCTCAGCCAAAGACTCCGAGCATTTTGTGTCATTTATGAATAGCATCACGTGACTTTCCAGCAATGCTAAAGCAATGTGCCAAGCATTATAAGTCTTTCCAATATATTTGATGAGCTCACTGGGCATTCGAGGTTGAGGATGGCTTAGCTGAAGTCCTTCTAAAAGAGCTTGAACAACATTTGGCCGCTGCATAGCCTGTTTCTTATGATAGTCTTTTGACAACAGAGTTATCATTGGCTTAGCAAGTGCTACCTGCTCTTCTTTGTGCAAGGTTACCCAGACAATGGGAAATACCAAAACCCAAAGGTGGTAAGCAACATTTGCATCTGTATGGGCCAGTTCTCTCAGTGGAATAACAAGATCAGCAACCTAAGATTAATAAAAGTGTTTCAGGATTTAGAAGAACTCTATTAATCAACAGTAAAATATGGAGGTAAAAAACACGGGTTGAATATATTTTTGAAGGAAGCATTACTCATGGAATAACAAGGTGATCACATTAAACAGGAAAGATGTGTGGCTATACTATAATTGCATATGTAACTGACAGAAATGACTGATCATTATACAGTGATGAAGAACAAAAAAGTTTGTTTTTTTAACGTCTAAGGAAATTCAATGTACCTGAAGCTTGCTCATTTCATTAAGAAATTGTGCATGCTTTGAGACAAGACTATCAAACGTTAGGGGAGCCTCCTCAGAACCTTCTGGAACATCCAAGATCATTGGTTGTGCTGCACTACTATCAGCAACTGAACCAGATACCATCAGCGGAGGAACCTTGGCAGAATTTGGTGCCAGTGTAATGGGCTTATCCTCAACCAAAATGGCAAGGAGAAGATCAAGACCTTGTTTAAGCCAAAATACATCGCTCAATGCCTCCCAGTCCTGAAATTGGATAATATACTGCAATCTTGAGAAGAGGGTCTTCCCAAGGGATTCATGATAAAGAGAGAAGAACCTCATCCGCATTTCAGGATCTTTTGCCCGTAAACCAAGCAAAAATTGCCTCTCTACTTTTTGGAAAACTTCTTGGCGAAGAGATATAGGATACCTGCAAATCAATAAAATCATCACTTTTATCCAGCTAAGACTACCTTAATCACTGCAAGAAAGTGAAATAAAAACACAACTAACTTGTTTGAGTCTGCACAAAGTCCATAGAGAAGCATGAGATATTTCTGGTCCCACTCTTCCTCAGCACTGGAGAAGCTCTGTTTATCAACTTGTGAAAGCTTTTGAATGAAAGAAACCACATCCTTTTGATTAAGGCAAGTATTAGATGCAACAACAGTTCCTGGTCTACCAAAATCATCTTCAATCCATCCCTTTATTACATCAAGTATGCAGAGCAACACAGAAGGGTCAGTTCCCTTTTCTGAGAGCAAGGAATTCAGTATTTGGGTTACAGATCGTTTGCATTCTGGAACTGACATGACCCTTTCACTAATAAGACTCAAAACTGATTTCAGATTAGCAATGACTACTCCAACATCAGCACCTTGACGGGAGGAGGTGACTGCAGAATCTGGATCTGATCTCTGACCCTGTAATGAAAAGCTATAAGCAACTGTACAGCAGAAATGCAAATATTCACAAAGAATATGGGATTGCTATGCATGTGCTTACACCATAACATTTTGTTCTGGCTTTAGCAGGGTGGTTAAGAGCAGAGCAGAATAGTTATGAACACAGAAAAATAAAGCAAAAAACATTTTCATAATGTTTTCATTAGCAGAGAACTTGGGGGAGGCAAGTGATGCGATGAAAAATGAAGAAACACCATAAATAAAGCTTGAGACAGAAAGAATATATGTTTTGTTTGGAACATTATATCAGACAGAAAGAATGATCAAAGAAGATATGAATTATGTATAAAAGTAACAAACCAGATAGCATACCTGTCTCACATGAGTACCAATGGAAGAACCCATATCCCGTGCCAAACGTTGAAGAACATGTACCAGATTACTTGGGTCAACAAAATTTTTGTGCACTTCCGCTAATGTTTTGATTACATAAAGCACAAAGCTAATTGTGCTCCATGAATTGTCTTCTCCAGATGTTTGAGGCACTGCAGCCACAGCAAGGTGCTTCTGTATGAGCTCCTCCACTTTTTGATATAAGATCCGCACTTCATGCGGAGTATTAGAGGCATTTGGAGGAAAAGCAAAGGAAACCATCTTCAACAAGGAACACAATGAATTCCCAGCATCTAGCATTTTGAACTTAAAGCATGGTTCTAAAATCTGAAAACAAGCCAGAGACATCACATTAGGTTGTTGACAAACACAAGAGAAGAAATTAACCATTCTTCAGAAAGCCATACTTGTGATATCTGGTTGATATTATTTCGGACAAAGAGATGAGGTTGCTTCTCCAAAACTTTGTTCATCACATCAAGCCCTTGGGCAAGAGCTGTGGAGGGGTCCTTTGACTGAGAAGGAGGAATACTGCTAAGAAGCTTCTCTAAATAATTAAATTTTACATTGGCATTGGGCCAGACTTCCAAAGCTTGTGATAGGAGATCCAAAGCCTGCTTGTACATCAGATTAGCTTCCTTATCCTTTGGTTCTATTACCAAGGCTACCTATTAACAGCAGTACATGGAAGTAAAAATGGTTCTTAGCCTCTCATTATAGAAAAAGGTTTAACTTATTAAATAAAGTACATATAGTAATACTCTGTAAAGGTTAAACTAATAAACTGAACATAAAAAATTCAAATAAAGATTTGAAACAAAAATTTGAAAAGAAAAGCATAACAAGAGATCCTTACTCGTATAAGGAAGTTGATTATCATTTCTTCCATTGCTGCATTTGGCTTAAACTCTTCATCAGGTTGCCCAGCTGATCCAGGAGTTTCAATGTTAGGAATTGATGAGGCACCACCTGGTGACATGACACAGAGGGATTGAAGACCAGGCTCAACCTTTACTCGCTTACTAGCATCTTCTGAAAATGAAGATCCATCCACAGGATGCTTGGGATCCGCAGAAACATGATTTAATCCATCAGCATTCTGACTATTGCCATCATTATTAGGGACTACTTTCATTTCACTTTGTCTTTGTCTTTCCCAATTCACTACTAACCCAGCAAGTTCGATAGCAAGCCGTCTGTTTTCTGCTGTTGTGTTATATGGCAATCCAAGGCGGCTTAAGGAATTCACCATCTGAGGTACAAATTGTGCTCTACAGCTGTAGAATAGATCTGAATGACGGACAATGAGCTGAAATATGTGTATCAGATTAGGGATAGAATGACCTTCCTCAACAAGAATCTTTTTAGTGTAGCGTATCCAAATAGGCATACGGGATTCACCAAGAGGCAACCTTCGCGGAAGAGCAGGCATAAGTATATCAAGTGCCTGTTTTACCAACATTTTATTCTCTGGCTGGCATGTTCTAAGGAGTGCAACAAAAACCTGTAATTCCAAATATATGTTATTATGATTTTGCAAAAATAATATATCGACAAAATAACAAAACTAGAATACAAGTATATGTCAGTATGCACATCTTTATTATAATACTGTGTCAGCACTAGTGCACTTGAAATGGGTAAATTTTACAATGATTATTTAGCCAGAACTTTAAGATGTAACATAACATAAGATAATTCAGTGATTAAAAAAATATCAGAATGAGCGCAAAAGGCAAAAGAGATGCCAGCCTATCTTCTTAGAGAGGCAGCCATTAACTTAATAGTCCTATACATATTGATAACTAAATAAACTATAACCACACACAGCACACTTTTTTTATTATAAAAAAAAAATTGAAGAAACTGATTGTTGGAGATCATACACAAGAAAAACATGTCCATCACATCTCAGGGCTTCATAATGGAAAAATTTTGGGATAAGAGACAGATCATTACCCTTTCATCTCTCCTTTTAAATAATGACAAGCAATTTTCAGAACACTAGAGGCTTTTAAAAATGTCATCCTCTCTCTTTATTAGTTTTTTTCCTTTAAAATACATAAACAAATAATCCTAAGAAGCTTTTAAAAATTTTTACAAATGGCATATTTTGTTGTTGATACTTGATAGTCATTTCTTGAAGCACAGATAAACTCTCAGTGGCATTGGATTTCATCTAGTAACCAATTAGCAAAACTTACAAAGTTGAGTTTTATATTCAAAGATATGTACAAAGAATAATCTCTCCAAATTCATCATTGTCCCAGCCCTTTTTAGGCAGAAGACATACAAAAGTTCAGTGGGACCAGCTGACCTGATTTTACAACATACAGTATCTCACTTGAATTAAGATCAACAAGTCAAAGAGACATTATAAAATGAAATGTTTCATGATTGCAAATCAAACTATAGAGCCTATCATAATGACTAAACATACATCATATTTCTATTCATCCTATGCATGACGAAATCTAAAAGCATAGGTTGTGGTCCTTCACTAAGTGTACCAAAATCCATTAAAATGTTTGTCATTAACCATCAATCAATACACTAAATAAATCAGCACTCAGAACCAATGAAATAATAGCATTCTGACAAAAGTAAAGCAGTGACAGAATCCTGATTCATATCATTGAAAATGGATACAAAAGTATGACCAATAATGGCATTTCACCACTTATTTCTCTTCAGATATGCATCTTCGCAAACTGTAATGAAATGGTAAATAAAACACATTGGTTGTACAGTGGTTGTCTGGAAATAAACACTTTTAAGACTACTGAAATAAATCAAGTAGAATGCACTATGTATCAATACTGCTACTTGTAACACACAATATCATAGCACCATAAAGAAAAAGAATCACAAAAGAAACAAATTATAAATCACCTTGCCTACCCAAAAGTAGGTACCTGAAGTATAATTTTTTCTGGAGCTTGATAAGCCTCCAGGAAGTGGCAAACATTTACAAATGCCCACTGCTTACTGGCACTATCTTCACGTTTAAGGTGATTCCAACCAAATTTGATAAGCTCCTTCCGGTGATGAACAAGATCAGTCTGAAGATACTTGAGAAGCAATGTAGCAAGTTGTAGAAGCTCTATCCTCAATGGCTCATCATAATCAGCAGACACCTACCAAAATCAACAGAACTCAAGCGTAAAATTAGAAATTTCAAGATGTGTTTTTTGAGGGGTACATCTGACAGGGTTAGAGATTGAACCCATTACCACCTATCCTAAATTCACAGGCCTATGCCACTTGACCACAGTCATTGACAAATTTAGCAAGTGTTACTCATAATTTAGGCACTCATTAATTACCTCTTCAGGAGGGTCCAGAAGCTTGTCAACAATAGTCTTAACTATAGCAGAGTCGACGACCTCCCAGGTTTGGCCATTCTGAAAGGCATGAGCAAGCATTGGAAGAATAAGCATTTGCATAATGACAACCAAGTGATCATGACCAAGTTGCTTTGACTGGAAAAGGTTCAGAAAGTGTAGGAGCAGGGTTTTCTTCATGTCAGGTGGATAGCTCTCAGCAACCTGAGGAGAATATTAAAAATCAGAGACCAATATGTGTGTGTACAATAATCATCATCATCATCATCATAATATATCATAATAATAATAATAATAACAACAACAACAACAATAAAAGCACCCCTATTTTATAAATAAAAAATAGCTAAATTATTTATCAACATACCTCTATAATATAGAACTCCTTAAGGAAAGTAAAGTCTATGCGAGTACGAAACAAGAAGATTGAGAGGATATCAAATAGAACATTCATTTCAGCCTTATCATGTCGTAAGTAATTCAGGAAGCATTTGACAAGCCATTTGCTCTCCTTGACCTGCAATTTTTGCCATTATATAAGTAAATTCTAATAACATCATAACTAGTACAAGACATTGAAGAAGCTCATTACAAATAATAAATAAATAAATTAGAACCTGCTCCCCACACCTCCCACCCCCAGTCTTTTTTTCCAACGAGATACTCACTATTACATGAATCTTCTTGCAAGTACAATCACAATTATAATGAATGAATGATATGGTCCACAAGTTCATGAACAAAACTTCAAAAATGGAGTAGGCTCAAAGAGTAGGAATGCAGGAAAAAAAGAAAAGGATCATTACAATTGTTGAATGAAGGAGAACAAAAAGATTGTATTGAGGAAAACATGATTTACAGTCGAATGTGTACTAATATATATAATGGTGGAAGAGACTGTTATACTACCCAATCCAGCTCAGTGAGAACAATTAGCTACATGATTTGAACATGGATGGTAACTATCTAACCCTAGGAGTACCTCAATAACTTACATAAATTATGGGACAGAAGTACAGAACTCCAAGACCAACAAGACAAGTATACTTTGACATCAACTCCAAGAAGAAATGAAAATAATGAAGAATAGGGATTCTAATAATAAGAAAAGAATTATTTAGATTTTAGAATAGTGAAATTAATAATCAAATCAATTAGGAATACCACACCAAAGGATAGGCATTCCCATGGATTGAAATATCCACTTACTTGCACCAAGTTCAACTCCTGCTCATTTTGTAGCCGTGAGATTCTTGCAGGTGACTTCCACATTAGAACCAGAGTATCAAAGACAATACGATTGTTTTGCAACCAGGTAGGCATCAATTTGACCAAAGTCTTGACCAAGGCAAGACCCTGAAAGTAAGCATCTTGCGTGCCACCCGAAGTTGAGGCAGCAGTCATAGAAGTCTCCGATTGATGCGCTGTAACGGCTTCATCACCCACCAAAGTGTTTTGTCTATTAGCAGGTTCTTGTACACTTGAAGCATCGGTTTTTGGAGCAAATTCTGGAAAGGCACTTGCAATTATCTTTTCAGGTGACTTCGCTAGTTCTTCTCTCAAAGGCTGGCCAGCATCTGACCTTATAATGTACATAAACCTACATTTTTGTTAAATACATTAGAAACATGCAAAGGAAAATCTTCAAAAACCTTATCATTACTCACAAATGAGCAAAAACAATGTTAGAAACTAAACTTACCGTCTGAAGTATTTGGGCTGACATAATCGAGCAAGAAAGTAATCAACAGCAGCTGTTGGATACCTATTCAAGAATTTGGTAAGTGGGAGCCTATAAGGACTGTTAATCTCACTATAAAATTGTCCAGGTGGAAGGGCAGCTTCCAAATCTATTGTCAGTGTCACTAGCTCATCAAGAAACTTCCCAGCTGCTTGGGGGAGTAGATGGAAAAGCTCAATAATAGCTACAAGGATAATGAAAATTACACATCAGTAATGAAAATATATAAGGGATGCAACATTAACATCAACTCCAAAACTCAATGAATTACCTGCAGCTATTTTGGGTTCTTCACCTGCCTTCCATGATTTTTGGCACTGTGCAAGTTTTTCAGGTTCCAACCATTTCCTTAGGTGCTCTAACAACTTCCCGCCTAAGGTTACATTGAACCAATTGGACAGCAGTTCAAGAAGGCGAGCTAGACCTTGCAAAAGTGGCATGCTCAGATTTTTCGTATGTGCTAAGTTAACCAATATTGGCCTAAGGCTGCTTTGCAGAAGCTCCTTAGGCATCCGTTGCTGTAATATAACCTAGAATGAGAATCAGAGAGTTCAGATAAAGGCTAAATGAAAGCCATAACCGATATCTGGCGAACAAAACCAACTCAACATACTATAATGATAGTACAAAAAGCTAGAGAGAATAAAATAAAGGCCAAATATGATTGATGAATGAAACCATCTCAACATTTTCAACAGGACCACAAAAGCTCAGGTGTTGCAGCAAAGTCAACCAGTCAACATATTCAATTAAGATCTTTAATATGATCTTATTGTTTAAAAAAAATCATAAATATCAGTACCGAACGAACAAAATGACAATTATGGGGGGTTTGCAACTATGAATAGCAATGAAAGCTTTATTTTAGAAAACCAGAAATGCAATTTTGAGAACCAGTGTGTCATTTTCCATCATAAAAAATAGAAGAACTTTGCCTGACATATTAATCATGAGGACACAAAACAATTATTGCTAGAATAGTTGGCCAATTCCAAAATGGAGTTTAAGGAGGTTTCCTAAACTTAAGTTCAAGAATCTCGCAGTTATTACTTCATCAGACTAATCCCAGAGATGGGCATTTCCCTCACTATTTTTTTAATAAGTAAATGTCCCTATATATATCCTATACTCTTCATATAGTAATTGGATATATAGTTCGTCGGTAAAACCAACGATTCTCTTCTCACATTAGTGATTCTCTCTTATGCTTCCACTTTAATGGACAGTGGTGGCTCTTTGCTGATTGCCAATCCATCTCATGATTTCTAACAATTTTAAATTTAGTTGGTACATTAGCAAGCAAGTACTCAGGAAAGAAGAAAAGAGGGGGTATATCATTCAAGAAAATAACAATAATATTATCACAAATCACAAGTACAAATATAGAGATCAAGCAATAAGAGAGAATCACTAATGTGAGGACCAACCTGTCGTAAGCCCTCCTTCGCAACAGCTACAATTTCTGAGTTTCTGCTTGTCAGAGACTTGAAAAACATTGAAATTATTTTTGCACGCAATTCAGCATGATTTTGAGTTTTGAAATCTGCCCATGCCATAGCAGTGCAGAGTAATTCAATGCATGCTGTGCGGAGTTTGTTCAGTAAAGCAGCCACCTTAGGGTTCATATATTTCATAACCCACACAGTTTCATCAGCCTCAGCTATTTGCAAAGCTTCTTGCAGGAAATTGACTAGCTCCTGAGTCAGCTTCAGAAGTGGAGGCCTCAAAGCAAGGCAGAAGTTAAGAGCAGTGACTGTCCCAACCTAAATATAGAAAAAAGTCAGTTTATGGCTAGGTCAAGTGGTCAACCTAAAAAATAAAAGTGACAAATGTTTTTACTTGCTGTTCAACAGTTTTTGATCGTAGTGGGCGCATTATAAGGGGCTGAAGCAAAGGTTGGTACATTGGTTCAAGCAATTCTGAAACCTCACTACCAGTCCTACTTGCCAGAAGCCCCAGACAAGACTGCACAATCTTCCTCACATTGATAGACACATTGGGATTGAACAATTCTGATGCCAAGTATTCAACAACTCCTTGAAAACTCTGCTTACGTGCTTCATTATTAGCTTCATCAACATTATTCACCACACGAAGGACATGCGTAAGCACTTGGCTTGTCTCTTCCTGCTCTTTAGCAGCATGACTAGGAAGCCTCTTGAGGACATAAACCAGTCCTCGAACAATTCGTACTTGGAAAAGGCAGAGTGTTTCAACAGTTACCTTTCCAACCAAAGCACCAAGCCCCATGACTCCTCCAATTTGTGCTTGCCAAGTGCATCCATAACAACAATGCAAAAGCCGGGGTAAAAGCTGCTCAAAAACAGGCACACGAACACTTGGAGGTGGTGAATATACAGGACTCATTGACGGGCTAGAGACAATCATAGGTGTACTTGGACCTCCCCTTTGCGTGTGTGTGTCTGAATGTTTTGAGCGGGCAAGAAACAGAAGTGTTTCTGCAAAAACATTCAGTGCATCTAATGCAGCCTTAGTATGCTGTCTATTTTCATCAGCAAGAACATCCACCAAAGCATCCAGAAAGATCAAGGGATCCAACTCCTTTAGATTGGAAGAAGCACTATATCTTGACTTGGCAGTGATTGAAAGCCCAGAAACACCAAGTGGAGCAGCTGAAACTGAAGTGTGGGCGGCAAAACTGTCTACATGGAACAGTATTGCAAAATGGCGACAAACATTGACAACATATTCATCCTTGGGGTCATGTAAATCAGGTTCAGCACTTGCAGCAATGATGGTCATCAAGAGAATCTTGAACACAGATTTTTCAGCAAGAAGCTGGGTCTTTGTTTTGACGCCCAAGTCAGCCTACAAGACAGATTTCAGCTTAAGGAAGAATAAATGACACTTATTTAATGTATTGCATGTAGAAATAACAGAGTATTACAAAAGAAATTAAAGAAACCCACAAACACACACATTGCTTATTAGCTAACCTTTACATCAGACATCTCAGATCGTCTCCAGGTTGGGTCAACTGTGGAAACTAACATAGTTGACAGCAACCTGGATGTTGAACCCTCATCATTAGCAATACCCGGCAGATTAAGTTGAGATGACAGGCATGCCCGCAAGAACTTCAATGCTTGTTTTCGGTAAAAAGCATCAACACTGACATTCTTATGCATCAGAGCTGCCACAGCAAGATTTATGCAACGATCAAGTGGTACCAAAAATGGGGTGGAAGGCTCAAATGTAAGAATTACACGAAGGCCATGCTCTGGATTTTCCTTGCATTCAAGAGCAAGAGGCTCTTTGAGAAAACGTCTATTACGGCCACCTAACTTGCCAAGGAGCTGTAATGATTTCCCACCCCAAGGATAAGGTGCAGGTCTCAAATGAGACCATAATGCCAGAATCACCTCAGACATAACATTTGCCATACTTGGTTCCAGAAAATCAGGATTTAGGCTATCAATCCAAAACTCAAGTGTTCTTAAACCAAGATTCACTAGATCATCACTTCCTTTGAGACACAGCACAAGAGGCTTCATTAGACGAGGAAGGTGTGGTAACAATGAACTTAAGCGTGCAGGCAGTGATAAGCAAAGCTCTAAAAGAAGCTCTCGCATGTCTTCACCACTAGGTCCCTCAAGCATAACCAACAACATACTCAAACAGGGTTGCAACATTGCAATCAAGTCCCGCAATAGTCCTTCAAATTTTCCACCAGCAAGGGCACGAAACATTGTACGAAGGAGTTGTAGATAATCAATTGGTTTCTCAACCTCAGTTGCATTCTTCATACAAGTTTCCATTATAACAGGTATATGAGGCTGTAAAATACGTTCACAGTCTGAAGGAGCCTTTGCAACAGCACCAAATAAATACCGGAAGAGATGCAAGACAAGTTTTGCTGAAGGTGAATCAGGATGCTTCAGAACATCAAGTTTGCTGTTAACAAGAAAATTAACCAGAACATCTGCAAATGGTTTGAACACTTTAGGGGCTTGCAGAAGTGTTGAAAAGATATGAACTAGCTGATTGTTGGAAATCATGCACTCAAAGAGCTCCGGCATGCACAAAGAAAACATGTCCATTAGATCTCGTGGCTCCATGATGGCCAAAATCTGGGAAAAAAGATGGAGCATTTCCCTCTCTTCATCCTTCTCTTTAAATAATGCCAAGCAATGCACTCCACTTTTTAGAACACCAGAGGCTTTCCAAACCTATCAAAAAATGATTATTAAGTCATTAACTAATTCCCTTGCACCAGACAACAAATAAATAGGGAATAACTATTGAGGTCAGAAACAAAAAGTATACTAGTCATTTTTATTATGATAAAAATCATACTAGCATTGATACCTCGTCCTCTCTCATTCCTTTGAAAGGTTGAGGTATTGACGAACCAGAAGATGCTGAAGCAAGCGCAGGAGGTGTTCCATGTGTTGAAGGGGAAACCTAGAATAATGGAGCAGCATAAGAGAATTGAACACAGCTAATGGAGTTCCTAAGTAACTACAGAGATTGTAAACCTGAGATCGGGGCAAATGTGCATGAGTAATACTCCAAATTATCGTCTTCATTCCTGAAAATACGTGCAAACAGTTTAAAATGACAATACACCTGCCACTAACCTCCATACAGTTACATTCATGATGAAATTCTGATAGTCCCATTTATTATGTGATAAAATAATAATAATAATAATAATAATACGGAGTAATAAAAAAAAAAAAATTAAAGGGGGCAGCAGGTTATCTGGTTATTACCCATAACCAAGGTTTTAATTAGATGTTTGCAATCACTGACTTCCTTGGAATGTTCCACAGGAACTTGTAAATTAAGTACTGCCTGCAATAAAGCAAGCCATTAAATAAATGGCAGGGTAACATAACAAACAGGGAATTTGTGGTGATGAAAAGTACAGAATAATACAATAACAATACACACACACACAGTAAAACAATTCCAAGTCTTCACTTACAGAATTCCAAAGCAAGTTCCTTCAAGGGAAAACACACAAAAATCATGAAAAGTGGAAGCAGTTCAAACCCTACCCAGCACAGAAGTAGAAAAAAATACTTTGAATTAATGTATCATATGTCCTTTGAGACGTTACAGACTTCCCTCCATACTCCATACTACACAACATAATATGTTTAACATAAAAATTTGCACCAAAAACACTGTAATTTTACCAGTGTCCAATGAGTTGTCAACAACTCCAATCCTAGTTTCCTTACCAGAAAAACAAAACAAAAAACTGTAATATATATTTGGCAAAGGATTAAATGATCAGGATTTCACAGCCCCCTGCATGAAGAAATCTAGCAGGCAAAGAATTTTGTGTATGGCTTGATTAAAAATAAAACTATTTTCATCATTTGAGGGTATAATGAGAAAGTAAGAATTGGCAACTAGCAAGGTAAAATGTTGGAGCAGTAAAACAATGCAACACCAAAGCCACTCAAAGATTGCCACATAAAAAAGCAAGTAAATATCATCCAATTACCTGCACTGGAAGTTCAAGTTTTGACCGCAAAGTAGATCGACCTTTCCCCTCCTCTCCCTCTTCAAGTAACTTTGAGATTAAGGGAATGCAAAAAGGGTCAATACTATTGGTAACAGATAAAGTAGGCAAAAAGCAGTTTAGTGTGATGAGCAGAGCAAAAAAAATTGGGTTCTCATTCATTTAAACAAACACTCGATGTGCACAAAATAACAAGCATGCTGCAACATTAAAATACACACTTTTTGAATGATTGCAGCTATACTGAAAATCTGAAATGCAAAAATTGAATAATACAAGGAACTAAAAGCCTTTGTCAACAAAGGGAAGGTGGTGCAATATACCCAACCATCTGACTGTCCATTGTGTCTTCAATTAAGTGCTTGTAACACAAATTTATAAGGATAATTCATGCGTGTGTAGCTTCAACATGAAACTACTTCCTCTTCTTATGTTGGCATATAAGCAAGATAAACAAATAAGACAATAAATATAATCAACTGATAGACCTGTACATAAGCAGGGAGAACAGGAGATTGAAAAATAATAAAGAATAATTAAGCAAGAAAGATAATTAATCAAAAAAAGACTCCAAATAGGCATGTACATCAACTAATGAAATGTTGAGTACCTGTGGAATAGTTCGCTTAAATGTGTTGAATTTTCCAACAAAAGCATCCAATATCCGGCCCTTTAGAGAAAATGGTAGCACAAATGATAGTGAATACTATGAGCAGAACAGAGTGATGATTCAAGGAAAAAAAAAAATCAAGAGGTCTTAAATTTTCTGACCAACAAAATCCGAGATTCATCCATGGTCGACTGATCAACACCTTTCTCAAAAATTGGCTCCACCTGTAATAACATCAAAATGATTAGAACAAGATTAAAACTCGAAACATCATCCATTCACCACTCAACTCAAAATCTCAAATACTTCTAGTTAATAGTGAAAAACAGGGCTAATGGAGGAAACAGAATTTGCAATGCTTCCTCGCTAAGTGTTTTTTGGTTTTGTACCAGATTCAACATTAAGCGAGCACAAGTGGTATGGATGCCTAATGCCAATGAAGCATCATGCATGTTACTTGAGAATAGGTAAATGATCCGCGACAACTGCACCCAAATAAAATAGGAAAACAACTTTTAGAATTCAATGAATGTGACAGCAAATGGTATAAAGGCAACAGACATTTCTTCAATCTAACATATAATATGCACATTCCCTCCCTGCCAAACCCCTAGGGACCAGTAAAAACTTGATTATTGAAAAGCACTACCTGGGACAAAGAAAGATCTGCCCTGACATGGTGAACAATTTCTGCCAGTAGACTATAAGCCAAAGGCCTCAATGACTCAAAGCATGCCCGTCCAGTCCCAAGAAGCACCCTGGTGTAGATTCATTTCAAACATCAAATAGCATGGTCAATGAAACACATCCTTATAAAAATAATTGAAGGGAATTGAATCTAACAACAATATTCCGGATCCCTTGAGCATATACTACAAAGTGATGTAACCAACAGTGTGCTCAAAGTTGGGTGGTGATAGTTTCCAACTCTTACCTCTCCTCCAAAAGTGTGTCAATCAGGGGAAATAAACCCCTCTTGAAATCTGTGCCAAGCACATGTTTCAAGGCCACCAACAATTCCTGCAACCCATAGAGTGTTTAAACTAAAAAGTATAGATTGAGGAGAGAGCATTCAAGTCATCAAGGAATATCCAACAGTATTTACCTTTCGAATAGAAACTGAGTCAGAGCAAGTGACAAGCAAATTCACAATGCTCTTACATATGTTTTCTTCATGGGGCTTAATATAATCAGCACAACTCTTCAACAAGTAAGTCAAAAAAGAAACTGTCTGCACATTGAAAAAAAAAAAAAAATTGCATAAGCTTACGCAAGAAGAGAGAGATTATAGGCAAATACAATAAACTAAGACTTTTCTTCATCAGGAAAATGAATGGAAATGGAAAACTGCATTTTCTCAGTCCCACGCATCTTATTCAGTACAAATTCTGTTGTATTCTAATCATTTCCACATTTTCTTTAATTGTAAGCTTTGGTGCTAATCAGTGCCAATCAAAGTTCCATAGCCAATTCCAACCCATTGTAACCCTTTATAAATTCATTCCTAACTTTTTTTCAGAACACATCATGGCACTGATGTGCTAGGCCTCACCCATCATACTACATCCTTATCAGCATTTGCTGAGCATAGCCTCCTAGGCTCACAAGAAGCATGATTTGTTAGTGTAAATTTCATGCTATTTTCACTGAAAGACAACCTACATATCCTGTGCTAGATATATGGGTTAGACAATAACAAACTAACTACTCACATGAGATGATTGGTTCATTGATTTCATTTTTTAGGGGCAGTGTTGAACATCCACCTAAATCGCACCCATTAGTGGCATCAGAAAATCCCCAATAATTTTATACAAACAGTACCATTCTGACAATCAAATAAAACTACCAACAAAGTGGGATCATGTGAATCTACAGCTTACCTTAACTTGTGCACCCTTCAGTTCAATAAAGTGGGTTTTCAAATGAGGTGGAACCTTCTCGGGACCAGGCACTGATATTGCAGTAACCATCAGTGGCAGCAAGTGAGGAATATTTGTCTGAATCAGTCGACTATACAACTGAAAAAGAAACATTACCACCAAAGGACTCTCTGTAACAATCTTAAATGACCTAATACTTGGATTAAGCTGCCCAGTTCCAAAGTTACCACTCAATGGACCTACTTGGTCGGAGACCTCCATTGGCTTTGCATCCCCCTCACTCAATGTAGATCCTGAACTGGATGGTGGCACTGGTGGAGGAGCTGCCAAGGCCCCGCTTTCAAAAAAGTAACTAACTGTAGCCCTAAAATTCTGGTAGATTTTACACACAAAATCCAAAAAGGGCTGCACTTCAGCCTCTAGAGTAGGCCTAAAGTTCCTAAGCAAGTCAAAGATTATCCGGATGCAAATTAGACCATTCTCCTCGTTATCTGTGGTGAGAACATGCATAGCCACCTTAAGCAGCTCCTGGACAAAAGGCCTTAGCACTTCACTGTGAGGCAGACGATTCAGAATCTCAACCACAATGTTTCTCAGCTTATGCTCGGGATTATCAGTGGATTGTGGCTGTGTAATGTGATATAGAATAACGGAAAACGAACGAAAATAGCATTTTAGAAAGTTCAAATACTCCCCTGTGTGCGTTATTTCTAAACTGTCCCGCACCTCCATCACCATTTGCAGCCTTGTCTGAATTGCTGATCCATAAAACCATAAACAAACAAAATTCAGGCACCGAAACACGTACAAATACATATACATGTATAGTCTACAACGATATGCACGTAATTATGCAAATAAACTTACGGAGGTCCGGTTCGATGAGATTGCGCGAGTGCTGCTCGAAATTTTGAATGGGACTCATGGTTACGAAACCCTAGGTTCGTCAAAGATTACCAAAATCCGACGCTTTGAGAGCTCAGATTAGAGACTAGGGTTTATGGACTGAAACTGGGGCTGGGTTATGAGATATTTACAGGGAGTGATGATAAGGGTTTATAGGCAGGTTTGGAGGTTACGAAATTAGAATATCACAGTAATAGAAAATTTTGCAGAGAGGTGAGCTCCTGAATGGCGCGAGTTATAAACGGAAGTTAGCATCAATCCCACACACGGCCAGCAGAGTGGCGAGGAGGGTGTTGCTCCGCCGAGTCGTGGCCGACTGAGGACTTCCCGACTTTTAAAAGAAAGAAATAACAATAAAGAATTGCAATTATGGTGTTATGGTGTAAATGGTGTATTTTCCTTTTATACAAATCAATCATGAAAAATAATACACTTGTGAAAATTTGTAAGGTCAAAATCATACAATTTTAAGTTTGACCTTTTAATAAAAGTAGGTTTTTGACTTTTTTCTCAAATTTTTAGGCTTTGAGTCCCCCAATGACCTCCTCACTATTTTCACTGATAATCGAACTACCACCCTATCGTTAGACTTCTGTGGTGACCCTTGAACCATTGAGCTACGTCCCGTGGAGTGTTATTGGCATTCTTGGTTTGAGTTTGTCAGCTATGTCAACCTAAACTGGTTTACCTCATATGATCATTTGTCAATTAGGGTCACAATACAGGGTTCACTCAATACACACATTCGTGTAGTTACTACAGGTTTCTCTCGTTATCAAATAAAACAAAATGTGAACGCAACAAGTTTTAAGATTTGTATCAGATACGATGTTGATACTGTGACTATTGCGCTTGTTGTTATCCGATACAAGAGGCAATTGCAAACACCATAAATTAATTAGATCACGCTTCATTTAGAAATTAATTTTTTGTAATATGAACTTTATGTGGGGCAGACATTTCGTAGCCTACCAAAACCTACCATTAAGTGGGGCATAGGGGCTAGCCCGGAAATCTCCAACCACCTCTCATCGCCCCCCACCCCCCCCCCCCCCCCGCGCGAGGCACGAGTTGTAGTTGACTTGGATTATTACAAATTAAAAAGAGCTAACACCCGATTTGGTCCCTCGACTATTAGCATTTCACAACTTTGGTCCTCGATTTTTATACTTGTTCAATTTCATCCCTAACTATGCAATTGTTAACCAAAATGATCCTAATCAGGTATATATGTTATCTCACAGTCTTAGTCTCTAAGGACATTCATCTCTGGTGGCCCATTCCTAGTGTCTGTCTGTATGGTGATCCGATGGTACTGGGGACCTGGGGTAGTGGTGAGTGATCAATGGTGGAAGCCCTAGCGAGTGTAGTGGTGACTAACTGAAGGGGGTGTTCGTTGTATAAGCCCTTGTTCTCTGGAAAATTTTCATTGGAGAAAATGAAGTAAATCGCAATCCCTAGTTTTATATTTTTTATCTATTCATTTTATTGTGATATATTGTGACATATAGTGTGTCAATGTGAAATATTTTTCGTTATTTATTTATTTTGGTTGAAGCAGTCTGCTTTATTGTGAATTTTTTTGAAAATATTTTGTTATATACACTGCGAAATATCTAATATTGTGATTTTGGTGGAAGCAGTGTGCTTTAATATGATGATTTGTATATTAACAATTAGTGCATCACTATGATACTTTGATAGTCTGATTATAGATTTATCATTTATGTTTATGGATTGAGGACCCTTGAAGAATCTGATATTGTGATTTTTGTGATTAATGTTTATGGATATATGGCCTTATGGCCATATGAAATGTTGATCACAAAATGATGAAAATATAATTTACAATTTAGATATATGTTGTCTTTCTGTGGAAACTTTTACATTGATATGTGCCTATGTGTTGTCTTGTCCACGTGATGAACATTATGAGACCTTTGTTGCCTTTGTGAATGCCTAATGAAATTGTATTGCACTTTTGTGTGACATTGACTAGTTTTACACTCTTAATATGTGTATGTCAAGTTTCATTGTCTAAGATTTTGTAAAATGTTTCATAATTCCTACTATGTGACGAATAGTATTCCAATTTTTTAGATGGAAAGTATCAATATGCCTAATACTAGCAATCAACCTCATAATTCTTCAAATGAGGGACCAACAGTAGTTGAAGTCCAAATTGTTGACACAAATAATCAATAGAATGTACATCCTCAGGTTGTAATTCTTGCGGAGAAAATGAAGCAGGTTGATGCCAGATAGGGGTGGGTGTCGGTTCAGTTCGAGTGATGCCGAATTTTATTTCAGATATCTGAAAATTTTGGGTGATGTTTTTTACACCTGATATCCAAACCAAATTTATTTCGAATATGATCGTTTCGGGTGAAATTATTTCGAATTTATTTCGAGTTAGTTTGGATATACCCAAAATATTGTTTTATCAATTTTTAGTTTTTTTTAATGATTATATTATTTTATTATTTATATTTTTTCATATACTATCAAACTAAAAATAAGACACGGCTTTCATAATGTTGCGGTGTTCACGGATTGTGCAGTCCTAGTTTCTTGCTTCCGCGATACGTCTATCTACCGTTCGTATCTAGGTGTTATTTTAGACTCATGTTTACAGTTGTTTCGTTCTTTTCATTATTGCTCGATTAATTTTGTACACAGAGATGCCAATTTGGTAGCTCATGCCTTAGCAAAACATGTTAGTGCGACTAACGCTCGTTCGGTCTGGAGGGATTATCCTCCACCCTTTGTCTCGTCTACAGTTTAATGCAATATGATTTCCTTGGCTTTCAAAAAAAAAAAACTAAAAATAAGACAAATACTAATAATTATCTAATAGACTTTTAAAAATTAATATATTATTAATTATGAAATACATTTAAAACTAAATATATAAATTATATTATTATATTTATAATAAAATTTTGATTAGTTCGGGTTTTGGGTCGGGCGTGGATAACTTTTTAACCCCCGATATCCGAACTGAATTTATATTCGGATATACCAAAATTTAAAATACTTAAACCGATAACTATTTGGGTTCACTCGAAATATAAAATTCAATTCCTGTTTCGAGTGTTGGTTCGGATAATCAAAATTACGTCCACCCCTAATGCCAGATCCAGAGTTTGGGATCATTTTGAAATAATTTCTAATAGTAATGGTGTTTTTTACACCTGATATCCAAACCAAATTTATTTCGAATATGATCGTTTCGGGTGAAATTATTTCGAATTTATTTCGAGTTAGTTTGGATATACCCAAAATATTGTTTTATCAATTTTTAGTTTTTTTTTAATGATTATATTATTTTATTATTTATATTTTTTCATATACTATCAAACTAAAAATAAGACACGGCTTTCATAATGTTGCGGTGTTCACGGATTGTGCAGTCCTGGTTTCTTGCTTCCGCGATACGTCTATCTACCGTTTGTATCTAGGTGTTATTTTAGACTCATGTTTACAGTTGTTTCGTTCTTTTCATTATTGCTCGATTAATTTTGTACGCAGAGATGCCAATTTGGTAGCTCATGCCTTAGCAAAACATGTTAGTGCGACTAACGCTCGTTCGGTCTGGAGGGATTATCCTCCACCCTTTGTCTCGTCTACAGTTTAATGCAATATGATTTCCTTGGCTTTCAAAAAAAAAAAAAAAAAAACTAAAAATAAGACAAATACTAATAATTATCTAATAGACTTTTAAAAATTAATATATTATTAATTATGAAATACATTTAAAACTAAATATATAAATTATATTATTATATTTATAATAAAATTTTGATTAGTTCGGGTTTTGGGTCGGGCGTGGATAACTTTTTAACCCCCGATATCTGAACCGAATTTATATTCGGATATACCAAAATTTAAAATACTTAAACCGATAACTATTTGGGTTCACCCGAAATTTAAAATTCAATTCGTGTTTCGAGTGTTGGTTCGGATAATCCAAATTACGTCCACCCCTAATGCCAGATCCAGAGTTTGGGATCATTTTGAAATAATTTCTAATAGTAATGGTGTTACTATACAAGGGAAGTGTATATATTATGCAAAGATACATCATCAATGTGAATCAAAAAAAAAAAAAAAAAAAAAAAAAAAAAAAAACATGGTACTCCATCCTTAAGGAACCACATGTTAAGCATTATGAAAAATCCCCCACTCTAAAGATACTAGACAGTCCCTTCTCACATTTCAAGCTGTTGAAAGCTATGATGCTTCTCAATCAATTGAGGGAGAGTTGGAAACATGAGTTTTTAATCAAGAATCTATTAGGTGGGCCTTGGTAGAAATGATAATAATAGATGAACTTCTTTTTATATTTGTGGAAGGGCAAGGGTTTAAGAGATCCATTTTATAGTGGCTTGTCCTATGTTTGGAACTCCGTATAGATGGACTATAAGTAGGGACATCCATGTGATTATGAAGAAGAGGGACTAAAGTTAAAGTTCTTGTTTAGGGAAAACACTCAAAGGGTTAGTATTACAACTGACTCTTGGACATATATTCAAAGGATTAACTGCATGCTAATCATTGTACAATTTATAAATTTAGAGTGAAAGATTCATAAAAAGATTATCCCATTTGTCCTTGTTACATCGCACAAGGGTGAGTATGTTGCAACAGCCATAGAAACTTGTTTACTAGAGCGGAGACTTAGGAATGTCTTTACTAGCAGGTTACAGTAGACAATGTTTTAACTAATGATATTGCTCTTGGTTTCTTAAAAAGGAAATTGTTGTACTGGGGAACATATAATGTGAAGTCAAAGTATTTTCACATGGGATTCATTGTCCATATTTTGAACTTGGTTGTGCAAGATGTTGAAAGAATGTGATATTTCAATGGAGAGGATTAGAGAGGTTGTTATATATGTCATAAATTCACCAGCTGGGCTGTAGAAATGTAGGGATTTGTCTAACTTAATTATAATTGAACAAAGATCTTCATTGTGTCTAGATGTGCCAACCAGATGGAATTATACCTATTTGATATGACAATCCACACTTACATATCATAAAGTCTTTGAAGTATATGAAGAAGAGTACATTTCAATTCTGGTTATGTGATTATAGGGGTATTGTTAATTGCATTCCACGACTTTCAAAAGTGTTAATTTAGTACATTGACAATACAATTATTATCAATTTTGGTCACTCCACCAAATTTCGTCAGAAAAACTTAGGGCCCGTTTACTTCATTTCTCTGTTTTTCCATCTCCAGTTTTTCATTTCTCCATTTTTCCAGTTTTCCATCTCCATTTCTCCAATTTTCTAATTTTCATTCCATATTCCTCCCGTTTTTCATTTCTCTAATTTTCTGATT